AAATTTCTTTTATATTTGATATCACTGCACCACCTTTGCAAACGAATTCGAAATGGTCATTTTTCAATACTATCTCCAAATCTCCATATTTCAACCTTTGCGTTTGTTCTGCCGTCTTTGAATTATATGCATATATGGCGTATGTAATGGTCTGCGCCTTAAGTTGTTGTAGTTGCTGTTGTTTAATCATTTATTACGATTTAAAAATAAATATTTAATCCGTTATCTCATCAGCTATTTTTTCTATTTGAAATTGCCATAATATTTCATTCATGAATTCTAAATCACAATCAAATAGGTCAGTTATTCTAAATTTAATATTTGATAAATCTTTTGAATGAAGAATAAATGAATTCCCGGATAATTGAAATGGATATGATAAAGAAAATGTGTTTAAGTTGATGGATAAAATGTTTTGTATTGATGGGTAAGAGTTAGGGTCTAATGTTTGATGTGAAAATCTCATTGGGGTATTAACTTTATCACATTTGATTAAAATGAAATTGGAACCAGTGTCAGAATACAAAACATCCCCAACATCTTTTTCAAAATTTAATATCCCCAACAATGAACGAAGATGAGGAGTACAAAATTTAATTTTCAGCGGAAATTTAATAAGGTTATTTATTTCATCAAGTTCAAAAAGTTTATCAGGTTTTGATTTAAAATTTTCTTCATACCATACGATAAATGATTCATTTAAATAACTTAAAATCATGTTAATATCCCATTTCGTTATCACATTTTTTATATACATATCATACGTTTTTAGGTCTACGACCCCGCCGCTATGCGGCTCATGGTCATCTTTAATAAATGATATATAATCTGAAGGGTCTAAAAGAATGGGATTAAATTTACCACTCACAGAAACGAGAGTAACATTATAAATTCCGCTAACTGTTAAATTTAATTCACAGTTATTATTCGAAATAATATTGATAATTGACATTTTTTATTACGATTAAAAATATGGTAAAGCGTTATTTTCCAGTGATAAATAAAACTAGAATAAGATTACCTCAAGAATTCATAAATTCAACGAATAAGAAATTCATTCATGTTATAAATTTTAGTGTTTTCAGAAAATACGAGTCAATGTCATATTCATCATCAGGTTATATTTCACTTCATTCAAATTTAGTTCAATCAAACCCATATAATGACCATTTCATAAGATTTTCAGATGGTATTAAAAATGTAATTGATAGATTAAAATATGAACAGATTGACAATATCGAATTTTTGGAATTTTGGTTTAAATATCCCGATGGAAAAAGATGAAGTTAAAGATAAAGTAGATACTATAACAAAAACAATTACAATGACCGATCCAGATAGTGGGGAACAAAAAGAAATAAAACAAACGATAGAAACTGGTGAAAGGTCAATTATTATCGATTATGATTCAAAGGATTATTATTCGATAATGTTAATGCTTGAATATTAAATAGCCTTAACAAAGAATTTTTCAAGTGATATTTTATATTCATCAACTATTTTATTATAAATATCATTATATGTTAAATGAAGTTCAGTTGTTGTTCCGTTCTTTGATATCTTAATTGTGCTAATATCCTTTATAGGATTTATTTTTGCAACTGTTCCGCAGCATGAAACCTCATCATCTATGAAAAATTGAATCTTAACGTCTGAATCTTGAACATCACAAAGAATGGCAATAATGTGAATTAATGATTCATAAGGTAAAATAATTAAACCGGATTGGTCAATTAAATTTATTATTGAATCATAATTATTAATTATTATATCACGGTAAATTTTCATTAATTCAGAATTAATGTCTATTTTATATGGGTTCTCGATGTTTGATGAAAGAGGTGGGGGTATGTTGGATAAGTGGGAATTTCAACAGGTTCTTTACCGGGTTCAGATAAAATGATTGGGTCTCCATTCTCATGGTTTTCTTCATTCTCCTTTCTTCGGTAAGTCACGAGTTAATAAATTTGGTTGAGTTGCTGACCTTGTTAATTCAGGGCTAACATTAACTTTAACATTTTGAATAATTCGTGATTTATCATCATTTACGTTATAACCAACCGTAATCTCTGCTTTTGCGTTAGTGTTCTTTTGATTAGTGAAACGTCTTCTCATTTATATCGAATAAAAAAATATATTTAAACTTTTATTTTGCGGAACTTTTGAATCTATTATTCCTGTATTTGTTTTGAAGTTGATTTTTAGCTTCATTATCGTAATTAAAGACCAATATATTCATTAATTGCATTCTTATAATCATCTGATTTCTCAAATTTTCTTTTATCTGATTCCTTAACTAAATCATAAGTTAAACCTCGTTGCTGATAAATGGTTTCTTAATTAAATCTTTGAATGCTTGAGATAAAGCACCTGATGCAATTCTTGCTACTATAATTGGTTGGAATTGCTGTTTAAGTTCATCTTTAACATTTGCGAAAACTGGATCGAATAAAGAAACTTTAAAGAATTTCTTAGCTGAATTTCAGGTCTAATATTTGCATATTGACCATCAAACTGGTTAGAATATCGTGGTAATCCATCCGGTCCCTCTTCAATAGCATTTAATTCTTCATTGAAATAAGAATATGGATTATGACGGTATAAATTAATTGGACCATGTTCACCTTCTCCAATGTATTGTTTAACAGCTTTTCCATTTTCATCAAATTGCATAGGATAACGTTCATTATATGCTTTACGTTTAGGATAATCAGACATAGTTAATTTATAACCATTTATGACTTTAATATTTCCTTGACCATCAGTAACGAAAACTTCATTTATACCATCAGGTTTTCCATTTGGACCCGTAATGTCTGCTTCGTGTGCTTCCCAATTTGGACCATGACGTTTGGCATATGCTTGAGCTTCTGGTAATGTTAAAACGTTTCTCATTTGTTTAACATCTTTTTGAAGACCAGCAACAATATGAACTAGTTCTTTCATTCCATCAGGAACTTTCATGGTTCTATTATATGCACCCTTTTTGTTTGTTCCTTGTTTTAATGGAACCTGTAGAAGATTTGCTATTTCTGTCATGTTTAATTATAAATAAAAAATAAAAATTAATTATAAAAAGTTAATCAAATTTAACACCTCCTTTATTTAAATCAACTATTATTTTTCCATGTTCACCTAATTGCTGATATTGTGTGTAAAGTTCATTAATGCTCATTGGTAAATTCACTTGATAAAGCATAACGTTCAACTGTTGACGACTAAACCCACTGAAAATGAAAAGTGTTGATAGATTTGATTTAATGTTTGTGCTTAATGCTTTGAAGTATTGAACAGCCATGAAGAATGAACACTGAATGTGTCGACATTGAGTTAATAATTGATTAAAATATGATTTCTCATTTGTTATTAGTTTTGATTTCACCGCATCATCTAGAAAAATGAGTGAATGCAAAAATTCTCTATCAAAATTTGAAATAGAAAGTGTTTCAAATAATTCATCCCGTTGTTTATCAATAATTTTATCCTCTAATCCTTGCTTCTTGATTGTATTATATAATTCTTTATACATTAAAAAGTTTTTTAAATAATCTTCTGCTTCTTCTTGTGATAAATAAATAATTGGAATTTTGATTAAATGCTTTAAAGATTCAAATGTATCATCTGAAGGTGAACCTGAATGGTTGATATAAATTAACACATGTGAATGGGGTGAAGTGTTAGCAATAATGATAATTTGTTTTAATATCGTTAATGTTTTACCTTTATTTTGTTTACCAATTGCTGCAGTGATTGAATTTAAGTAACATTCAGAATATGGAATTTTCATTAATTTTTCCTTAGATAGAGCATTTCTATTATCACTCAATGCTTCATTAATCATATCATCTACGTATGTATTATATACTCCCGCTAATTCTTCAGAATTTAAATCCATTTAATCAAAAATAAATTTATAATTTTAAACATTTCTATTCATCAATATTTCATCATATGAACTTCTATACTGTGGTGGTGTACCTGTTGGATGATATTTCAAACCTTCATCCGGTGTCCATGTCCAATATGTAGTCCTAGTAAACCAAACCTGAGGAGGATTTGTCACCTTTGAACAGTAAGTGTCATTTACACCCTGAATGATTGGATAAGCTTTCACTTGTACTGTAACTTGTGAGTTGAAAGTTTCTAATCCATCAAAGAATATACCCGCTCCATCACGTTGAACTGGAATAGTGCATAAGAATGAAGTTTGGTCTTTCCATGTTCTAGCTAATGGTGTGCCATCATCATCATTCAGTGGTCTAGTTAATGAGTCCTCGTATTCTTCTGTGCATTCATTCACTCCATCTAAATCAGAAGCTTGAAGCATACGTGTAAAGAATATGTCACCCACTGTTGTCATCGCTTGATCGGGGAAGTTTCTGGAATCTATAGTGACTTGAAGACCTCGAAGCATTGGATTTTCTAAAACTGTTCTTTGCATTGCATTCTTCGGAAATGCTAACAACATCTGTAACATTATGAAGAGCGTATGAGAAATCAGAACTGATACCTTCAGGAGTGATGCAACCTCCATTTAGTGAACGAACGTCAATATGTTGAGCTGGAATCATGAATGGATCTTCCTTACTGAATAAACGTGGTATTGCTTTAACTGATTCTTCAATTAAACCGTATCCTGGTGTAATGCATTTATCCTCTAAAACTTCCATCTTTGTGCATGAAATAATAACGTCATCAACTGTTGCGTCAGCAGATGTAGCGGCTAAGCTTGTAATTAATTTGGCAGGAAGTCCGATTTGTTGGAATTTGCGATCATATTTATAAACATGATTCATAATCTTTTCATAATTTTCATCAGTTATCTTTTCATAAACGTAATTTTGTAAATCAGCAACTCTTAATGGGTCAACCTGACAAAATACTAAAGTATCCCTGAAAACATAATATTTAAGAATGATATCACCAAATGATTTAGGATAATCATCGAACGCCTGAAATGCTAACAAATCATTTATCGGAATAATCATATCAAAAGTGACATCAACTTCTTCATTTGCTTTCTTGAAAACTTCTGAAGGGTCAACATATTTACCACATACTGAGTTATCATATTTTTGAACATTATTATATAGCGAATGAACAAACTTTTTAACTTTCCTTTCTGATTTTGGTTTATATGTTGCAAATGCGAAAGATTCACGGGCGCAATCCATCTGAAGATAACCGACATCACCTCTTTCACTTTCTGCTTCTAATTGTTTAAAGCTTTGATTTGATGATTTGTAACCAACGAATAAACGCATGCATTTAAAAGCGGCATCACATGTGAAAGCTTTATTTGAAACAAGAGTTACTTTAACTTTGCGTTTAATATATGTGTCACCTAATTGGTTCACATCATGAGCCGGATTTGTAATTCTTAAATGAGTTTGTTTATCATCAAAATATGGAGCATCAGAGTCATAGCATGAACTTTCAAGTTCTCTATAATATCTTCTTCCGTCATTCTTTGCGAATATTTCATTTATCTTTTCGAATGAATGAAATACATTTCCATTAATCGGTTTAGTGTTTGGCACCAAATAGTTAGTCGTCATTTATGATGAAATAAAAAAATCAAAATTAAAAGATGAAAATGAATTTTTAATTTTAATGAAATAATCAACTATGGCTGCAGGATTCTTTAAAAAGTTATGGGATAAAGTAAAAAGAGGAGCACATAAAGTTTGGGAAACAATGAAGAAGGGAGCAAATTGGATATTTAAGAATAAAGAAGCAATTAGTGACGTTGCAGAACAAATAGCACCTAATGTTCCGGTAAGGGAAGTATTAAATAAAGGAGATAAAGTTTATCGTCGACTACAACCGATATTGAGATAAAAATAATATTTATTTTTCCACTACTTTCCTCCTATTTTATTAAGTATTCCTTCAGCAATTCCACCAACTGCGTTACCTGCTTGTGCTCCCATCGCTGGATTACCTGCTTTAGCACCTAATACTCCACCTATGATAGTTCCTGCCGTTTTCGCTACTGGTGCCAAAAAGTTTGCAATGGGTTTTATTACTTTCTGATGAACCCATCTTGCTGCTTTCTTAATTCCTTCCCATAATTTTTTAAAGAATCCTGCCGCCATTTCTGATTTAATATTAATTAAAAAATATATTTCATCACTTATATTCTAATTTTTATTTAATAATAAATGAAACCGATTTTAAAAATAAATGAAACAGAGGAGGAAGAAATAAATGAAAGTGAAAATGTTCAACAAAAAATAAACGTTGTTAAACCAATTACTGAAATAAAAATTTTTTCATCTGTTGAAGAATTTAATGACTATTATGCTAATAATAAAAAATTATTTGAAGAATTGACAACATGTAAATTGAATAAAATGTTTAAAGTTGAGGACAGAGTCCAAGACCCGGAGGGTCATGGATTCAAAATTTCAAAAATAAAAGGAGTGGTTAGTTTGAAATCTATTCCCCAATCAAGAATCACCTCATTAATGAAAATAGATGATTTAACAAAAAGAATAGAAATTATTGAAGAGCGAATAAATCAAATTATTGATTTCATAAATTCAAATAATCATTAGTTTCAATTTATTTTTAAAGTTTATTTTTCATTCATGAATGATAATTATATCTGATTTCTTTTATTCTCTCGTACATACTAGATTTGAAGAATTCGGAACTTTTACCATAATCTCCTAAATGTTTTCTTATCCCTAACGTGTGCCAGTTATTATATGAAACTGTATAAACTTTATCTTTATCTTTACACCTTTCATCACTTCCAATATATTTATATCTCAGTTTTGATTTAGCATTTTCATATTCATTAGCGTTTAATAATTCACAGTCTTCCTTTTTAAATTGATGTTTAAGATATTCAGGATTTAATACTCTACGTTTATATGCTCCTAACTTAGTTCTAAAGGTTTTTCTACAAAATTTAGGAATTCCATCCTCTTTAATGTCATCAATGATTTCCATTTCATTATTTTCAATTTTTCTTCTCGTTTATGAGGTCTTTGATTATGACTCCATTGATTCCATGAAATTAAATATTCTTTATCATTATATTTATACCTCATTAGCTTATTTTGGCTTTCATATTCATTTAATAATTCACAATCTTCATTTTTAAATTGAAGTTTAACCCATTCAGGATTTAAACAATGTTTAATTAATCGCGGAATATCTGACATCATCTATATATAGTTTCTTTTATAAAAGATAAAAAATAAATTATTTTAAAATTAATGTTAATTTTTTAATGATTTATAAATAAATATATTTTAATGCATCGTCTATATATAGATGCAACAAAAAAAGTCACTAAACCCGCACTCATATACTACTATTGGAAGGTTAAGTTTAATTACAAATATTTCAATTGAAAACTTAAGCCTTCAATTGAAAATATTTTCGAGGCAAATAAAATTAATCATAATCAATCAAATTGAAGAATGGAGATAAAATTGGTTGGCAGATTCAAAAGAAATAGAAATTGCCATTAAAGTGTTTTTGTATTCCTTAGCACTAGATAGCCTTCCTTGAATAAAGGTTTAAAATTTTATTGACTTGGTGGAATTTTTACGGGTTTTTAATGATCCTTATAGTACAATTCAATACAATATGAATACATATATCGAAATTTAATTTTAAATGAGACCTTCAAAAATCAATTGAATATTTTAAAAAATTTCAATACAACTGAAATTATTGGCTCAAAAATATTTCGGATGTAAATATTGATTATTTGATTTTTGGAGCTAAGTCTATATAAGGTTCTTAATTTGTTGAATTATTTTTGTATTTCTGGATCAGAGATTTTAACTTTGAATAAGAAAGATATAATTCTCTAATCTCATGTTGAATTAGATATGGTTTCCACAATCTGGTTAAAGAATTTGAATATCAGTTGGATATTGCTTTTATTTTATCCACGGTCTTGCCAAATTGTGGATTTATCATTGTATTCACATGTGAATTTGAATTATTTTATTAATATTATTTAATTTTCATGTGAGTGATGATTTTAATTAAATATTTGTATATGGTAAATATTGCAATGAATTTTACTATCTCATCTAATCTGAATCTAAAATAATTGCTTTATTGTCTTTACAACTTATGGTGTAAATTGGAATGACAACAATACAACAATTATTAAGGGTAAATGCCAAAATTGAATTGTCTTATGTAAATAATAAAAATTCTATGCATAAATTATAGGTCAATCAAGCCGATTTGATCAAATTTTTGAAATTTTTGTTTATTAATTTTTCCTTTACAGTTCAGAATCTTGTTTAATTTTGAAAGGAAAACGTATTAAATACTAAATCTTTCGAAGAACGATTTGGAATGAAGAATTATATATATGTTAAGCTGTGCGGTTATCATTTTTATTGACAAATGACTTTTCTTCACAAAAACTGAAATTATCAAAATCAAAATGAAAGAACCTATTCTATGTCATATTACTTGTATTACAATCCCACGTGTATTACCTTCAGACATATACGTTTCATACATTTTTAATGGAGAATCCGGATCTTTGCCCAGTTATTCAGCAGATGAACCTGTTCTAACGACCGAAGATCAGATTGCTCTTGAGTGGGATACCAAAGAACCTCTTAATATGTTCTTATCGCTAAACGCATTTAACAAAAACGGCTACAGATATCAAATCGGAAACGGAGAAATACAAATTCCAATAGAAGTTATTCGTGCAGAGAAGAAACCAACATTATTAATCGAAATAGATTCTAAAATCGGTAAATTTACAATCACAATTCAATTCGAAAAAGGAATTTACGATGATGAAGTAAATGCAGCAGATTCTCCTGCAGTTAAAGGCACTTTAGCACCATTAGAGCAATATTCAGAGATCATTTCACAGCTCAAAACGCAAGCAGACAAAATACATCCTGCAAGCGACGTTTGAGGATCAAATGGATTGTTTGCTTTACTAGATGTACTATCAAAATCGGACGGAACACTCGAAGATATAAGTCTACTTGAAGTTTTACAGACTAGAATTGAAAATAAAGAGATGAATATCAATAATGCGACAAAATTACTTTTAATTACCTCAAAATTGATAACAAGTAAGGATATATTATACGTAACTCCGGATGATCAGATCGGAACAATGTCACAACTACATGGAAGGCAAATAATTCCTATTTTATCAGTAGTTATTTGTAATTTCTTTAAAAACAACAAAAATATTACTGAAGACTTCCTTGAAAGTATTATTTTGATTGTATGTAACCTTGCTTGTACAAAAGAAACCAATGATGACCTCAATTTTTACTTATTAACTTCAAGTTATAATATTATTCGTTTTATTCATTCAGAATTCCCTGGAAAATATCCTAGTCTACTTGCCATGTTGTATTCTGCAGCTCAAACTACATTATCTAAGTTCCTTTCCTACTTTAATAACTCGATACAAAGAGTTGCCCATGATTGTAAGCTTTTGATAACCCAAATAGAAGTTTTCCAAGAGCAGTTGATAATGAGTGGCTACGGACAGAATTTCTTTCAGTCAATTATGCAGATAATGTTGCAAATTGTTGATTTCAGAGTAGTAAGTAAATGGATCTTCGATTTGGACACAAATAACATAAATATGGGACCTCTCATCAACGAATTCAAGGAATATAACTTTCCTTTGTTGCATTCTTTACTTTATATCTTTGCTTTCGGAGAAAACATCGTAAACAAGAGGAAATTCTATGAATACGTCGTTCCTGAGATGCAAGGTGAGTGGTTTATGTACGCAATGTTCAGATTGATCAATTGTCAAAAAATTTTAGTTGAACCTGATAGAGTTTTAGCAGTTTTGCAGAGTAAAATTGTTCCTAGTTTCCCTGATATCGAAGGTTGGGCCTTTGATAACAAGGAAATGCGTTTAGACGAAGTTAAAGCGATAATTCTTCCTGAATTACCTGCTGATTATAATATTTAGATTATTTTATATTATTTTGTATTTAAAATGTTTGTATTTCGCATTTATTTCTTATTTTTCAATGATTTCCATCAAATGGAAATTAAATTTTATAAAATTTTTGGGTATTAGTTCTTATTCTATCCATTCTAAGCTCGTATTACAAAAATAAGATAGTGAGTTAGAATATAATGATCCTTTATTAAAGCAATTACAATCAATGATAAAAATTTGTTTCCTTTTATAGAGTTGGATTTCTTTTGGGAATTATGCTTGTATAAAGCTATTACCCATTGTTGTTAATGGATCTACAATCATTACACTTAGTTTTGGTGACATTCATTATAAAAGAAAAGAATAGATTCAAAAAGTATAAAAAAAATGTTTTGGAGATAATATTCTATTGTTTATATTAAGGAACATTAAGAGGTTTTCATTCTGTGATTGTTTGGAGTAATTCTTTAACTTTAATGGAATCGTGGCCTATGTATGTCTTAATTTCGTGTAATTCTGTAGCTGTTCTGCGGAACACTTTAACCTGAGGAACAACTTCAATATTGAAATGATTTCCGATCTCTTCACACTCTTCAACATCACTCTTGATGAATGTCATCTTGGGAAAAGAATTGGAAACTTCTTTAAGATCATGTGCTAATGTTTGGCAAGGGAGTGACCAATCTGCAGTGAAGTTTATAACAACAAGATCACGAGCATTCTTTATGAGGTTCTTAAACTCTTGGTAATTGCCTTGGAATGCCTTAAGGGCATGGCGTTGGAATACAGAGTTTGCGGATAAAATTTTCCTAAAATGAAATCATTTTCCAATCAATCAGAATTCAATTTTGATCACTCACTTTTCAAAGGAAATAAAATAATTATTTCAAATTTTCTGAGGCATAATTTGAATGAAAAATTTTCGGTTAAGTCATTATGGATAAGGGTTTCGTTTTGCTAAAATTGTCACTTTTATAGCATATTTGTTTTTGGATGTTTTGCGAAACCAAAAAAAAAACTATGATATACAATGTGTGTGTAAAGAAAATACTTTATTTACTAGTTAAAAATCATTTGGTATTGATCAAGTTATTTTTTCTGGATAAGATATTATATGGATAATTGGATAGAAAATACAATTATATAATCTTGTACCTGGTTTAATTAAGCTAATTGTCATCAGAAACTTGTAATTTTTATGAATTTCAGATTTTCTTTTCATTACTGCTTTTCTTAATAGGTCAAGTTCTTATTTACGTTATAAAGTATGATATTTACAAATATCAAGTTATCATGTTTTTTGAGAAATTATGAGAAACAAACAAAAATGAAAAAGATAGGAATAGCAATGAATAGTGATGTGGGTATAGAAAATGTAAGAGATATGAATGCAAAGCAATCAGTATTTAGGACATTGACCATAGATTTCGAAAAAAAAATGCTGCATATTGAGCGAAAACTATGATTATATTATAAGGCTGTCATTTAAAGCATAATGAAACTATTCCCTTTTCATTTTAATCGAATAAGATAGTAAAGATTTTTGAATTAGCTAGAAACTGATGAGATGTTTTCACAAATCAGATTTTTAATCTCTATAATGCATAATTCACTCAATATCTCAATTTTGATATTGCGAGATATTTTTGCTATCGGTTTCGCAATTTTGACACAATAGCAAGAGGGTTCTATAAGCATTATTATCAACGTAGAATCTGAATATCATATCAGAAAATGTCGCAAATCTGATATTTACCCGACCAAATAGCAAAAATAATTGAATACTTTTCGCAAAAACTTTAAAAATCGATAAAAATATGAAATATAGATATTAAAGAGACTTTTTATATAATATTCATAAAGATTTTCCAAAAATATGATACCGCAAAATTAAAAAAGTGACGTCTTGAGTGGAGTCAAAGGTCGAAATTGCTAGCTAAATGTTTTTTAGCGAAATTGCGTATTGTACGTTTTTTTTTTCGCAAAACGAAACCCTTATATAGAACCCTCTTGCTATTGTGTCAAAATTGCGAAACCGATAGGAGAGAGGGTCAAAGTTGCTATTTGTCACTTTTCCACAAGAATATAATGGGGAAAAAGTTATCATATAGTTGATCTCATTGACTAAGATGAGAGATGCATGTAGTGTAATATGTAATGTGATAAACAGTGGGATTGCTGCTCTAAGTCCTAGGTTCGAGACACATTGGCTTCATTTTTCTCTTTTTTATTGACGTAAACTATTCAATTTTTGTGTTCTCCATTCAAATTTCAGAATTTTTTTGCAGATTTCACGCTACATTCGAAGTTACCTTTTGTAACAACCACCACTGCCTACGAAAGACGAAAGTGTGTCACGATTTCACCCGGAAATCCGACGGTTGTTTAAGAGTATGCACTTTTGTCACCTACTCAACCGATAGCAAAAATATCTCGCAATATCAAAATTGAGATATTGAGTGAATTATGCATTATAGAGATTAAAAATCTGATTTGTGAAAACATCTCATCAGTTTCTAGCTAATTCAAAAATCTTTACTATCTTATTCGATTAAAATGAAAAGGGAATAGTTTCATTATGCTTTAAATGACAGCCTTATAATATAATCATAGTTTTCGCTCAATATGCAGCATTTTTTTTTTCGAAATCTATGGTCAATGTCCTAAATACTGATTGCTTTGCATTCATATCTTACATTTTCTAACCCACATCACTATTCATTGCTATTCCTATCTTTTTCATTTTTGTTTGTTTCTCATAATTTCTCAAAAAACATGATAACTTGATATTTGTAAATATCATACTTTATAACGTAAATAAGAACTTGACCTATTAAGAAAAGCAGTAATGAAAAGAAAATCTGAAATTCATAAAAATTACAAGTTTCTGATGACAATTAGCTTAATTAAACCAGGTACAAGATTATATAATTGTATTTTCTATCCAATTATCCATATAATATCTTATCCAGAAAAATAACTTGATCAATACCAAATGATTTTTTAACTAGTAAATAAAGTATTTTCTTTACACACACATTGTATATCATAGTTTTTTTTTTGGTTTCGCAAAACATCCAAAAACAAATATGCTATAAAAGTGACAATTTTAGCAAAACGAAACCCTTATTCTATAAGCATTATTATCAACGTAGAATCTGAATATCATATCAGAAAATGTCGCAAATCTGATATTTACCCGACCAAATAGCAAAAATAATTGAATACTTTTCGCAAAAACTTTAAAAATCGATAAAAATATGAAATATAGATATTAAAGAGACTTTTTATATAATATTCATAAAGATTTTCCAAAAATATGATACCGCAAAATTAAAAAAGTGACGTCTTGAGTGGAGTCAAAGGTCGAAATTGCTAGCTAAATGTTTTTTAGCGAAATTGCGTATTGTACGTTTTTTTTTCGCAAAACGAAACCCTTATTATGGATTTGAAATATTAATGTAAATTTAACGAAAGTTTAAACTTTATTGCGGATTGGATTTCATTTTGAATACTCTTTTGAAATTCTTTCAAAATAATGACCTAATATCCCCTCAAAATAACAAATCGCAAATCATATGTCTGTATAATTGATCCATTACCCTTTTCAATATAAAAATTTGCAGAAAAATCAAATTTAATCTTACTATAGTTTTTTCGAGCATCAATTATCAGCTGCTTTTGGGATTGAGTTTAGAATTTCTAAAATATGGGCAAACCCAAATTTTAGCTAAAAGTGACAGGGGAAAAAACGTTTAGTATTTAAAAAAAAGACCGATGAGAGCTTCGTTCGAAATATAGAGGGAACTGAGATGCGCAACCATTCTCAGGGAATATTGGATGCTATTTCCGTTCCTCTGTATGGAAATTGGGGTTTTTCAAAGGGAGTTAAAATAATATCAATTTATACTAATTTTACTTTCAAAATACAAAAGTATTTTGACAGCTAAAATTAGTTACTTTAGCAAGCCTATCAATACCCTTTTACGATTATTGCTACTTTTTCGAAATAAAAGTAAACAAATTTATACTAATTTACTTCAAAATACAAAAGTATTTGACAGCTAAAATTAGTTACTTTAGCAAGCCTATCAATACCCTTTTACGATTATTGCTACTTTTTCGAAATAAAGTAAAAACAAATTTATACTAATTTACTTCAAAATACAAAAGTATTTGACAGCTAAAATTAGTTACTTTAGCAAGCCTATCAATACCTTTTACGATTATTGCTACTTTTTCGAAATAAAAGTAAAAACAAATTTATACTAATTTACTTCAAAATACAAAAGTATTTGACAGCTAAAATTAGTTACTTTAGCAAGCCTATCAATACCCTTTTACGATTATTGTTACTTTTTCGAAATAAAAGTAAAAACAAATTTATACTAATTTACTTCAAATACAAAAGTATTTGACAGCTAAATTAGTTACTTTAGCAAGCCTATCAATACCCTTTTACGATTATTGCTACTTTTTTCGAAATAAAAGTAAAAAAAATTTATACTAATTTACTTCAAAATACAAAAGTATTTGACAGCTAAAATTAGTTACTTTAGCAAGCCTATCAATACCCTTTTACGATTATTGCTACTTTTCGAAATAAAAGTAAAAACAAATTTATACTAATTTACTTCAAAATACAAAAGTATTTGACAGCTAAAATTAGTTACTTTAGCAAGCTATCAATACCCTTTTACGATTATTGCTACTTTTTCGAAATAAAAGTAAAAACAAATTTATACTAATTTACTTCAAAATACAAAAGTATTTGACAGCTAAAATTAGTTACTTTAGCAAGCCTATCAATACCCTTTTACGATTATTGCTACTTTTTCGAATAAAAGTTAAAAACAAATTTATACTAATTTACTTCAAATACAAAAGTATTTGACAGCTAAAATTAGTTACTTTAGCAAGCCTATCAATACCCTTTTACGATTATTGCTACTTTTTCGAAATAAAAGTAAAAACAAATTTATACTAATTTTACTTCAAAATACAAAAGTATTTGACAGCTAAAATTAGTTACTTTAGCAAGCCTATCAATACCCTTTTACGATTATTGTTTACTTTTTCGAAATAAAAGTAAAAAACAAATTTATACTAATTTACTTCAAAATACAAAAGTATTTGACAGCTAAATTAGTTACTTTAGCAAGCTATCAATACCCTTTTACGATTATTGCTACTTTTTCGAAATAAAGTAAAAACAAATTTATACTAATTTACTTAAATACAAAAGTATTTGACAGCTAAAATTATACTTTAGCAAGCCTATCAATACCCTTTTACGATTATTGCTACTTTTTCGAAATAAAAGTAAAAAAAATTTATACTAATTTACTTCAAAATACAAAAGTATTTGACAGCTAAAATTAGTTACTTTAGCAAGCCTATCAATACCCTTTTTACGATTATTGCTACTTTTTCGAAATAAAATAAATTTATTATCAAAAACCTTTTTTTTTTCTTAGTAAAATAAACGAAATTTTTTACCTTATGAACTTTGATGGAAATATGCAAATTTAAAATAATAAAGAAAGCCGCGAGCGAAGCGATCGGCTTAGTTCGAAGATTTTGATTCAAATCTTAGTAGTAGGATATGACGGGTTTTGT